ACGTATTACTGCCGATGAGTCTTTACGATCCGAAAACAGACGATCACTCGGTCGAATATAGGTCAGCCGAAAAACCACGTCAATAAATCAAGGTTATCTGACAGTTTTCTTCGATTATCGGCATATGATGCACTCCTAATTCCTTCGGACCAGCCAAACTGTCACCAAGGAATACTATTTGAGTAATATGCGCCATTAGCGCGAAGCTCTTCGTAAAAAGAGACCGGAATTGAGGGCCGGAAACTCTTAGTTTTTGCACCACGATAATGTACTGTTGCATACTGCCTTGATTCTTCGTGAGCCTTTCGCTAAATTTTCCACCAATATCGTGCCGCACCCACCATATTCGCGTGATTTAGCTCTGTGTGACTTTTGATTATTCAGCAAACTCGAACGACCGCTGCAAGGAAACCATTTTGAGTCAATTAAAGGCATGAAACGTGTATTGTTATGCGCATCAAAGGCTATTCCGGAAATTGACTTCAGCAACTGTTTCGAGATTTGGAAATACTGTTGTCGGAAGTGTATTGCGACTCAAAGGAATTAATTTAAAGAGGGCGTCATAGGCTTTAGATAATAAATTAAGAATTTTAAAATTATGAACAATATGTAGTATGGTATACTCAAAACTTGCTCCAAGAGTGCCTGCTTGTTTTGGCCGGCCGATCAATGTTGTCCATACTCAGAACGTTTGGACATACGAGAGCTATTTGTAAAGTATAGTGCAGTAACTTAAAACATTTATATCTACCAAAAAATGGAACTGAACTTAATTTTAATTTTGGCGATGAAATAAAGCATCAGTGTTTATCAATGGGGAATTCCCTTCAAGGCGAATTTTGTAAAGTTCGTCCAAAATCAGTACTTGTACCGGAAAATATTGATGTTGTGCGCAAACTGATATTGGAAGATCAATATGTAACCTATCGTGAGATTGCGACCACTATGGGTAAAATTGGATCCCACACCATTTGGCCATCGTTCAAAACAGACTCGTGTAGAATGGTGGAGAGAAAAGTTGAAAAACGCGATAGCGATGCTTCGAAACATTCTATGACGACGTGACAGATGATGAGTCGTGGACTTAGACGTATGAGCAAGAAAGTAAACAGCAGTTGACTGTATGGGAGCACAAAACACTTTCAAGTAAATGGTTGCCTGTTGAGCATGTCCCAACCACACTACTAGAGCAACGCTATTAGCAACGCTTTTCTAGCTCTTAAAACCTCGATTTGATGAGAAATTCACTGATCGTGGTACAACTTCCAATTGGCTGCGACAAGACACGATTGATCCTTCGATGAGTCTATTGACGACTTCCACGTAAAGCTTCACGTTGACGGTTTGCCCAGGAGGAATAAATTCATGATTGGGCGATGCCTTTGATGTCAAAAATGACAATAAGCATCGTTTTTCATGGTCTTCTTCAGCGATTTCTTCCGGCCCTCCAAAAAGGTCTGGTGCCAACGAAACACACCACTTCTTGCTAAAACAACATCGCAGATTTACCGAGTATCACATAGAATTTAATCGCGTACCTCTGCTCTAACGAACGCTGCATTTTCGGCTTGCACCACTCAAAGAAACACGACGCGCGAAAATGTTTGTCCTGACTATCCAGGTGCTCGGAGACAACTAAACAGCCGCCCGCTCGTTAGCTACCTTTACCGAATCCAGTCGGTCCCTGCATGCTTAGGGTCAAACTGATGTGCTGCACATAAGAAAATACCTTGCGATCACTCAAATCCAAGTAAGTCAAATTCTTATTGACAATTATAGAGATTTTAACTAATATTTATTGCAGACACATAGTTTATTCTCGATTAAATGAGGAATAATTTTATGTTTTACTAAATAAGTGGTATCGACTCTTTATGTTTGAAACTCTTCCCATAGTCCTCTAATTTTACCTATTTTAATGCTTTCAAATTGTAGTTTGTTACGTCCTGGTTCTGAATTTTTCTCTACGGACTCAACAAATTTTCCACCTTCCTGTGGATTTGTACATAATAAATAATTGATTGAAATAGTTTGAAAATATATATCAAATAGTTATATTTATCCAATTTCCATTCATATTTATGCTAAATAAACGCCGTAATATTCAACTATAATTGCTTTGTAGTAGACATCTTTAATACTCTAGTCTACCTCACTGATAGAGAGTTGAAAACCGTAATAACAAAAAAAAATATATATAATATGCCCTTCACAGTTGCATTTCATTTAGTAACTATGTGTTTAGTTTGTATGGCAGCTATATGTTATAGCCGAGCCGCTTCTTGAAGAGAAAATCACGTTAATATACCCTGTTCACGGTATAACTAGACTAGGCAACTTGAAGAAAATCGATGTGAAAATACGATTTTTGGTGAGAGTTCGACTCTGGAGCGATTAATCATAGCTTTATTGTATCTTCAACCTTCCCCCAAGTTAAAAAAATAAATGCTCGTTAATTTAATAAATCACACGGACCCTGCGTTGAATTTTAATAATTTTCTATACTTTTAAAGACATCAAAATAAAATCAACATTAAAACGATAAATGATTCTTTAAAAAAATCTATTTTGCTAAGTTGGTAGGACTGCGCTATGACCATGCCAAAGATGAGCCCGCTCTCTCAACCAGTTTGTTTACAGCAGCTGATTAAGTCGGTACCCCTCATTAGTGCGTTATGATTTTAACAATGGATAAAATTACCGAACAAAAAATGTGTCTAAAATTTTATATTCCTAGCTAAATCATTGTGAATGTTGGAAAACAAACAAGTCAACCATGCCAAAGCCGCTCAAAAACCAAGGTGGTGCTCATTGCTTTTTTTCCTTATTCGTGATTTGATGCATCATGAGTTTGTTCCGGAGGGACAGACGTTCAATAAGGAGTTATATTTGGCCATATTGAGTCGTTAAATAAACAAAAATTCATTGAATGGGCTAAAGGCTATCCCAAAAAGTAGTGTTTCGAAGTCTGGAAAAACGTTGGCAATTATATTTTGTGGGGATTACTTTAAAGGCGACAAAAGAAATATTCATGAATAACTAAATATTTTGCGTTTTATTTACAATTTCCGTTAATTTTTTGTAAAACAATTTGTATTTTTCCAAAACCAACCAACCAAAGCAGTTACAAAAAACCTTAATTATTTCAGTTCGAACCTTGGGCGACACTATTTGAAAACTCTCTATTAACATGTAACAATTTAAGTTGAAATAAATAAATGAAACAATTTTGTATTTTCTTTTCTCACAATTCATTCAATAATTTATTGTATGTATTTCCATCGATACATATTTTAAAAAAATTCTAATTTTTTCAATAAATTCATAAATGGAAATCAGTCTTTTTCTATGTGTTTTAAGAAAAAATAATATAAAGGCATATATATAGTAGATGTATATATTAACAGAGTTGAACATATGTATCAGCGATTGTATGTATATGCGTAAAAATATATAATTTATATATAATAATATTTATATATAATATTGAAGTATATTTAGAGAAAAATTGGCTATTAATAAAAAATAATAAATACAGCGGTGATTGGTTGGCGTAATTCGAAGGTGGCGATGAAACTTAGCGCTAAAGTTGTAACTATACATATGCATATATGTGTATACCCGCTGTACTGTAAGAGTCAGTTGAAATTCTTTGCAAGCACTAAGCTTAAAATAATCAAATTTTTTTTTAAACGAATAACATGGATTTAGCAAAATAATTATAAGTATGTAAATATATTATAATTTTTCAACTGCGTTAGCTTACATACATACATATATACTATATACTATATGTATGTAACTGTTCTAGTGTTTACTAAATCTCGGTTTTTTATTTGCTAATCAAGTACTATGAAACAATTTCAACTAGTTTTCGTTTTGTATGTTTTTTATGCAAGCGAAACATTTATATTATATTTGTTTGTATGTATGTATAAGAATTTGTATATGCATGCTTTTGTTTTTGTTTTACATATTTGTATTTTAGTTCTATAAACTTATTTGTCAGCAACATCAGCTTTTACAGTAACTTCGCACATTCAATCGGATAGTTGAATTCAATGTGTATATAATAATTATATAATATAAGTTTTAAATATTTTATTAATAAATTATACAGTTACATTAGTGTTTTTTACATTTGTATTTGTTACATGTGTACATATGTATATTTTTTTAGTTGTTTAGTGTTTGCTTGTGTGAGTGTTTGTTCATATTTGTATGTATTTGTCGCTATCAATTCATTATGCATTTATTTTGTGCGCAATTGTGCTTTAGTTCGATTAATAAACTATTTTATTTGTATTTGCTTAGTTTTTAATTCTTAGCCTTTGTAATATAGTCCTCAGTGCTGCACGTAAATTCCTTAAATATCCCAAGTTTAGTTCATTTTAGCAATAAATAACATTTCTATTTAATTTATAATTACAGCTACCATAGTTACAAAGTTTTCATTTGTTATTTTTGTTTTTGTAAGCGAACTGCCTTAAAATAACATACCTTTCGTCGAAAATTATTATTTTTTTTTAATTTAGTTTTTATATTTATTTGAAAAGCGCTTAACCAAAACTCGAAAATTCGAAAGAATTGAAATTTTTTATGAAAGCCTAAAAGAGAACTTTTAAAAGCACGCAAAAGCTCGCAATGTTGTCTTTATATTATTATCATCATTAAATAGGGGTAAATGGTTGGTTTTTGCTATAAAATAAACGCAATTTATTCTTACTACTGTGTGCAAATTTAGTATCAGCTCATCGTCATCATTTAGTATCATTAACACTCAAAAGTATGCAATACAGTTTTTGAAATGTTAATTACGGTTTTAAGCATAAATTATTTAAAAAAACAAAATCATTTTTGGATCAAATATCATTAATAAGAAAAATTTGCAAAAGAGGTAAAATGTATACTATAAAAATCGTGAGAAATGTGTTAAAATCATAAATTATAGATACTAAATTTTAATTTCAATTAATTTTTAATTCGTTAATGTATTTTCAAACATTTTTCAATGCATGCGAACATTCAACATGAGTTTAAAAAATTTACAGTGAAATTTAAAATTAAAAGACATAAGGCAGCTAAAATTTTGCCTAATACTGCAGGGTACATATTTTTTTACAGCTTTCTAAAGCTCAAAAGCTACTATATGCATTTACCAGTGCATTAACAGTGAAAACTAAAATATTTTGATGTTAAAATTTTGCACGATACTGTATGACAAAGTTTTTGAAGCGTTGTGAGTAAACTTTTTTGCAATTTCAGCAAGTTGTTGTTGCTTGAACTTAATAGTTCGCTAAGCGTTCTTCTTTCGTTTCGACCCTAAATGTATGCTTGTAATTTCAATGTTAAGAGTTTGAGCATTTCTGATATGCTTGCGCGGATATGTTGACAAAACTTTCACTTCATTTCAAATACATTTTTGTGGATAATGATAATCGTAACTTAAAAGGATAATTAAAATTTTTAGTAAAAAATAGTTTTCAAATTTTTTGCAAGTTGCTTACACTTACATATTTGCTTGCAGAAGAGTGTCGATTTTTTTGTACCTGGAAATGATTTCTATGCACTTTTTACGTAAACTATTACTTTGAATTGCTGTAATGCACCCTCAATTTGCTGCGCTTAAAACAAACAGACTCTCGGCAGCCAACTTTACGTGCCCACAGCATAAGCATTACATTTATAGCATACTTTTAGGCCTTTAAGCTTTGCAATCAACAGCAACGCTAGTTGTGAGAAATTCGCTAAAGAATACTTAATAACATTCATATATACTACAGCTAAGCAACACTTAAACGCTGATTTTTTTTCTTATTGCTATATGCATTTATATATATATATATATATATTTTGTTTGTATACTACACATTTTTAATCTACCGGTGGCTCAGTCAATGAGCCTAATCTCACTTATGTTTCTCATTAATTTTTCTTAAATAAATTTGTTATTAATAATATATTTCTCTTTTATTCGTCTTTTTCCTCAAAGTGATGATAGTGATGGTGTATGTGCTCGTGCACATAACGGTGTATCAGCGACGATGCGCCGCCGCTCGTATTGGCCGCGCTCGCACTGCCGCTCTCTTCGGTCTCTGCCTCCTCTTCATCCTCCTCACCTTCCTCTGCATCCAACTCCTCGACCTCAGCCGCATCGCTTACGCGCAATGTCACATCCAGATCATCCACCGCGCTCTCCACAGCTTCAACAGCCACCAATTCAGTCTCATCGGTTATGTCCACCAATTTGGCGGTTGCTACATTACTGTCTTGGTCGACTGGCTCCACCGCAGCGTTAGCCGTTGCATTTGACATCGGCGTTGAGGTTACGGCAGCTTTGCACGACGCGTAAAACAGCGCTGTGGGTGCCTCGTTCACCGCTTCGTCGTCGGTAGTGGTCGGCGCGATGAGGTTTTCGCATTCCGCTGGGTCGCCGTGTATCGGTATGAGCGCTGCGTAGGTGCCTATGCTCGTGTTTGAGCTGCTCGTCTGCATGCCATTAGACGCGCCTGCGCTCTTCGACTGCGCTGTGGGCGTATTGCGAGCGGTCGGCGTGCGCAGCTTGTGTGCGGACTTGTGCTTGCGCCGTTGGTTGTGTGTGCTCAGCGCGCTCTCTTGTAGCTTCTCGCTCAGCTTGGCGTACAGCGCGTTATCGGCATACTTCGTGGCGTTGTCCTTGCGCTGATGTTTGACGCTGTTGTTCTTCAGCCATTTCTCGATGTGCTCTACGGGTGAGTTGTGGGCCAGCGGTGCGTCGCTGAGACTCAGAGCCGCCAGCTTATTGGCGCATTGTTGGTGTGGTTGCTGATTGTGGCCACCATGTCCATGTCCGTGGCTGTGGTGCGCATTGGAAGATGACAGCCGTTGATAGCCGCTGTACTGTGGTGAATTATGAGCGGTGAGGCTGTGCAGCGGTGTATGTTGTTGTGAGTATGAGCCGCTGCGCAGTATTTTGCTGGTTTTGATCTGGTGCGTGGTGGAGTTGAGGAAGACCTTTGCGGGCGTGCTCTGGCTGCTAGGAACTGCGTTCATTATGGGTTGTACTGTTGCGATTAGTTGTTGTTGATTAGTGTGTTGATCGTGGCCGACAATTTGTGGCACGAATGTGGTGGCAGTTAAGGCGCCGACGTTGCCACTTGTGGTCAGCGGTGGTGAGTGACTGGTGCCGCCGCCGCAAATGGTGGCATGTAGAAAAGAATCGTAGCCACACAAATTCATTTTGCCGTGTCCACCATGTTGCATGCCACTTTGTGCGGCGAGCACAGCGGGATTAATGGCCATTTGTTGATGGTAGATGGGTATATGTGGCTGAGGATGGTATTGTGTGGTGCTGGTGTTGTTGGTGGTGCTGATATCGTGTAAATTTAACTCGCTGCTGTTGTTGTTCGTGTGATTGCTGCTGTGACTGTGACTGCTGCTGTTGCTGTGGCTGTGGCTGTGGCTGTTGTTGGGGCTGTGATGATGATGATGGTTGTTGTTGTTGCTGTTGCTGTGGTTGATAATGGCATTGCTGTGGTTCGCAATTAAGGTCGGTATTTTCGACACAGTATTTGAGCTGTCTCTTATACACATCTAGATGTGTATAAGAGACAGGTGATGATGATGATGGTTGTTGTTGTTGCTGTTGCTGTGGTTGATAATGGCATTGCTGTGGTTCGCAATTAAGGTCGGTATTTTCGACACAGTATTTGAGCGCTGCTGCTGTTGTTGCTGCAGCTGCTGCTGACTGTGAGGCAGTTGATGTTGAAGTTGTGGTTGCCTTATAGGACTCACATTTGCTTGAGGTTTTCTGAAAGCGCCAATAAAACATAACACAAATGAAAAAGTGCATGTGCAAGGGGTCATTAAGGGGGGTAATTAATAATCGGATATTAGAAGACTCTCAGTTGGTCCGTGCAGTTTTCATGATTTAAGATTAGGGCATTAGCGTTAGTATGGATTAAGTTTATATTTACATAAAGTACATATTATCCTCGCATGGAAGGTTAAAGCTGTGATGCGATCTTCGGGCATTAAAAGCGTGTAGCTTTCATTATGGAAGCTGTGGGCTTTCAAAGATTTTTGATCTAATTTTTGCAATAGAATTAGTATGAAGTGAATTTTAGTGAAGCAGACAAACTACTACAAACCTTCGCCTGATAGCAGACAATTTCAAACCAATTTCAGTCATAATATCGGTTAGTAGCTCAGTTTGGTTTTAAAAATAACTTTATTAAATAGTTGACACGAAGATCTGTATAATATAGAGCAAGGGATAAAATTTGGCTTCCCAAAAAGAGTTTACTAATTTGTAATTTATTTAAAATGAAAAGCTTTAAAATTACACAACTACAAGAGGTAACTTTTAGTACTCATTTTGCAACGTTGTCACATTTCTCTATAATAACAAGGTCCAATAAAAGTTGGTGTTACTCTGCAATGTTTTGCCGAATTTCATTTTCACTAGAAGAAGTTGGAGAAGATCAAGCATAAAAGAACTGGAGAAGTTCCCCAATAGAAAGATTTCTAAGCTCCTATTATATACAAATTCTAAATGAAAGCTTCTTTGAAATTAGAAAACTATACAATCTGTAGAGGTAGCTTTTGATCTTGTAGCTGCACATTTCACTATAAGAAAGAATAGTCAAACAGTAAAAGTTATAAGTTCTAAATAAATGTACAAATTAGAATGCTGTTTGAAGCTTTTATAACTTGAGGATAAGATTTGGTATTATTCTGCAATGTTGCCAAACTTCACTTTAACAAGAAGAATTTTGAAAAACTCAAGCATACCATAAGATATCTTAGCTTTTATTTTATATTACTCTTTATTTTCCACTCTGCAGCAGTGCCACATTTCACTGTAATACTTGTTAGACTCACAGAAGATGCTTGCAAGAGCAAAATATTGATTATGCAATTACATATCAACTATACAACAACAAATATATCAAACAATAAAAAGTAGGTAGGTGAAATAAAGGCATCGTAAAAAATAAAAGTACAAAGCAAATAATAAAATGCAAAATGCAAATCAACGCTTAACGGTGTTCATTAGATGCGAAAAACGAGGAATTTGCTTTGTTCTCCGTACTACGTCCTTTTGAATACGAAATCAAGCGGATCGAAATTAGAAATATAAAAATTGTGATTACTATGAGGGCATTTGTTGTTGTAGTTTGTGGATTTTTCTTGCAACAACCAGAATATTGCATATATGGATGTGTGTGTGTGTGTCTATATACATATTTTTTGTGAATTTTGTTCTGCAGGCAAGTGCTTATGTGGGTATGTATATCTGTACATATGTAGTATATAATAGAGGCCACCCTTCCCAGCACCCGGTGCTTACCCGCTCATCTGAAAACACAAACGATTCTTCTCCATGCTTTCCCGTATAATGCTCATCAAGTCGTTCCGATTCAATGCGGTCTTCCAGCACTCAGCAGAGTTGCGCTGCCGTTGAGCCAGTGCGGACGAGGCGGCGGCGGCGGCCGTGGCTGTGTTCTTCTGTGGATTACGTAACTGAACGCCATCGACAACATCACCTAATTGCTGCTGCTGCTGCTGTTGTTGCTGCTGAGACTGTTCGACTTTGCTCTGCTGCTGTTGTTGTTGTATGTGCCGATTGTACCAACAGGCCTCGCTGCCGACCGAGAGGCTGCGCTGCCGTGTTTCATGGCAATGTTCCTGAAACTGCCATTTTTTGTTGCCGCAAGTTTGTTGGCGGTTGACGGTTGACGGTTGTTAGTGGTGGTAGCGGTGGTGGTGATGGTAGTGGTTGTAATGCATGTTGAGTGCATGAATGGATGAATGGCATGATGTTCACGAGTTGCAGATGAATGAAATGCAATAACGGTAAAGATGATGATGATTGTAATGTAATGTTAAGCAGTTGTTGGTATTGAGATAGTAGTGGTTGTAGTTGCGGTAGTATTTATGTTGTTGTTGTTGTCATCGTCATTGTGATGAAAATGCAACGAAAAATAGAAAAAACAAAAATAAATTAAACGAAATTAAAATTTAATATACATACATACACACTTGAGAAATAAAAGTGCCTAAAGAAAACACAAAAATAAAACGTAAAAATAAATGAAAAAAATAATTAGTAGAGATATATGTACACTTATATTATGGTTCATTAATTTCAGACTTAATTTTCTGAAAGCAAGCAAAAATAAGTTTAGCTGCTTCTATAAGCTGGCATAATGTATCCATGGCTATGTGTTAAAGTAGCCTAGGTCGACTTAAAATGCCGAAAACATTTCGATTTACTAGACCAGATTTACGCTTTAAATCGAATTAACCATTTTAACCGAAGTCGCCTTAAGCTATTTTATGATTTAACCACAGGTCCAAACCTATTCGTATTAAATATTATATAATTGTTAATATGACTGAAAATCACTGTACTACATGCTTCTCTGGGCCTTACTAAGACATACAATATAATTACTCTCAAGTTATAAGTCTCAAATAAACCACAAACAGGACAGGATGGTCACAATATGATCCTAGTATATTCACCATATTTAGGAAATTTGACATCCAACAGCTATTCGAAGACTAAAGCCTTATTTTAATTTAGAAAAAGTTCGTACGCCTTGTTAAATATTTTAAGCCTGAATACTCCTTACTCTAGTCTAAAAAGATGTAAATATACTAGCTATGTTCTATTGACTACAGATTTCCATAGCTTCCTTAGTATAGAGCTCGTAATAACCTGTTGTCACGTTCTTCTTAAAAAAACATTCAAAGGATTCACATTTATTCACATATTAGCAGCCCATTTACTGTTTAAGCCCTCACTTTTAAATAAGTTATGATTCGCTGCTTTACAGTAAGCGAACTGCGGTTCTGTAATTGTCGGTAAGTCATAGACTGGAAATAATTCCAAAAATGCCACGTTGGTCAAGTTTTATATTAACATTACCTACATGTCCATACTTCATAGATATATGATACTACGAAAGGTTCACGTGATCGGACAGAAAATGAAAACATCGCACCTTAAAACCTGCACGAGGCATCAAATGAAAGTATAAATGTGATATATACTGGCAACCTCAGATCATTCTTTTATACTGTGCCCAAAAAATAAGGTAGTTGTAGTTATCCCCTTCAAAGTAATCAGCTCTCGATACAATGCACTTATGCCAACGGATTTTCCAATCTTCGAAACACTGGTTGTAGTCACTTTCCGGAATGGCCTTCAGTTCCGTCTTCGCTGCGGCTTGAATCTCCTCTATCGTATAAAAACGGTGTCCCCGGAGCGTTCTTTTGAGCTTGGTGAACAGCCGGAAGTCGCACGGCGCCAGATCAGGTGAATACGGTGGTTGAGTTTTTGGCGAAATAATCACGAATTACGAGGGCAGTATGGGATAGTGCATTATCGTGGTATAAAAATCAAGAATTGTCTTTCCACAATTCCGGCCTTTTTAGGCGGATAGCGTTACGCAAACGACGCATAATGTCTAAATAATTTTCCTTGTTGACTGTTTGACCGGTTGGAAGGAATTCATAATGCACAACACCACGATAATCAAAGAAAACAGTCAACATGACCTTGATTTTTGAGTGTTTTTGACGCGATTTTTTTGGTTTCGGCTCTCTTTTGGCACGATATTCGCTCGATTGATCGGTTGTTTCGGAGTCGTAAGCAAGTCAAGTCTCATCGCCAGTTACTATAATCCGTTTCATGACACCCTGATAGTCGGAAAGCATCGTTTTACACACTTCAACGCGACGCCTTTTTTCCAAAAGATTCAATGTTTTCGGTACCAGTCGAGATTTGACGCGCTTGAGGCCCAAAACGTCCTTCAAAATGATATTGGCTGAGCCTTTCGATATGCCAGCTTTATCAGAAAGGTCTCTAATTGTTAATCGACGGTTTTTCAACACCAAATCTTTGATTTGTTGAACGTGAGCTTCGTCGGTTGAGATTGATGGTCGCCCTGGACGCTCTTCGTCTTCGACACGTTCAAGGCCGGCTTGGAACTCACTATACCACTTGCAAAATTTTTTTTAGGCATAGCCTCATCACCAAAGGCTTTCTGCACCATCCTAAACGTATCCGCAGCAGAAAATTGATTCCGTAAACAAAATTTAATGCAAATTCTTTGCTCAACAAATTTCGACACCGCAAAAAACGAAAACCTCACTTTTAGCAGCTCACAAAACGACACGTATCTCAAACACTAGTGAACATTTTGACATAAATGTGACTGACAGAACTCGTACTACCAACCTAAAAACAACCAAATCCTTCGACACGCGCAGTTTAAATTCAAATGTCTAGTCTTCAAGGGTGAGTCTATAAGTGCGCGTTAAATGAAAGTATACTTTTAGTTTTGGTTAATTCTTTTCAAGATATAACTGAGTTTTCCTACAGATTTAATACATTTGTATTTCCTAAGGAAATTTCTGTAACGGTGAAATTTTTTTTATTCTGTTCTTAGAAAAAACTATAAAAAAAATTGTAGAGAATCGGATCTTAGTTGTAGAAGATGGGAAGAGGGGTGAAACGTATCAAAATATTCCATTTCGATCGGAGAGGGACAAAGAAAGATTTTAGAATACTCCAAGAGAATAAGGGCATGCAAGACTCAATACAGTGGAGCTCCAAAGTCCAAAATTTTTATACACGCTGAGCGAGTTGTACGAGAAAAGCTCCTGAAAACCCCGAAATTTTATCTCGCGAGTTGATTGAAAGATTTGGTTTGGATGTTTCCATTAGTACAATAAAAAGAAAACTACAAACATCTAGTTTTAAAAACTCTATCGCAAAAAATTACCTATATTTTCCATTTCGAGTTGGAAAAAAGGACTCGAGTTTGCAAAACAATATCCAAATGTCCTAACCACATTTTGAGATAATTCGGTCCGATTAATTCAAATTCGAGCTAAGGAGTTAAAAAACTCGTAAGGGACCCCACTCCCTGATCGCTTAAAACCACAGTGCATACAATCGTCAGTGAAGCATGGAGAATGGTCTCTCATGGTTTGGGGATGTTTCTCAAAATTTTGTGTAGATAGTGTACTTGAAATCGGTGGACGAATGACGGTTGCTTCATATGTTGACATTCTTAGCGAACATTTTAAAATAAATGCAGAAAAGGTGAACTTGAGGTCGTTTATCTTCCAATAAGTTAACGACCCCCAACGCATCAACATCTCGCCTGACAACTCGCTTTTTTGAAGAAGGCTTAAAGAAAAACTGGCCTGGCCAGCTGGCCGGATTTAAACCCAATTAAGCATTTGTGGTTAATTTTTGATACCAAAATACCAAAAAGCAGCCGTACAAACTTGGAATAATTTATCTTACGAAGGCGAAGCGTCAACTTGACATTATTCCAATAAAAATATTAGAAAGTTTGGTTCGAGGCATGCGAAAACGTACTCCTGCAGTAATACTTTTATTTAGAGTCCTTTTTTTAAAGTGGAACTAGATTTTTTTCTTCTATTCCGGAAAAAAATACTAATTTATAATTTGTTACATAAATACCTATGTTAATATGCATCGAAATAACGTCTGTGAAATTTATACTTTCATTTGATGCCTAGTGTATATGTCTTCGTAAGGCTTTAAAATTTTAATTTCAGCTTTTACAGCTTTAAATTCAACTAAGTTTTGCTAGCTATCATCAAAGCTGAACTAAAAACTAACCGCTTATGTGGAAGAGTAAGTCTCTTCACAAGATAAAAAAATGTAGGAACAAAGTTTGAGGCAATTTCCCATACATGTACAATAACATACAATTTCTTATTAAACCGTATTTCTTAATGTAGAATTTTTAACTTAAGGCTGGAATATAGGCTCCAATAACGAAACTATCAAATCCAATGGATAGATTATTGTCATGCAGGAGTTTTGTAGCCTTTGTTGGAGAGTGTGGTATGCCGTTCCATTAGTCCCGACCTCTTAAACTTACAGAAAAAAATAAAATAGCGGGAAAGACACTCCGAATTTATTATGTATTTATGGCTGTCTCTCACATTTTTCTCACGTTGTCATGAAACAATTTTAGTTCAAAAGAAGTTAAAACAAATGTTACTCATACGTCATGTCGCACAAAAATCTTTCTTAAAACTAGTACCAAAATATTTTCCTCAAAATGAGTTGATTTCTGCATTTTACTATTATCTAAAGAATGTTGAACATCTTACTGGTTTATTTCTTACAGTCGACTTTATTCTTAGCAAAATATTTAGCGTAACTAACAGCTGTTGGTATATGCCTTCAATGCTCACAAGTGAAACATGTCAGTCGCTGAAAAATATTATTTTTGCGTGGACGTCAAACAATTAATTAGTCATAAATACAAAATTCAAACAATCAGTATGCTTACTTATATTCTAGTAAGAAAATTTAAATTTCTAAATTTGTTTGCACAGTTACTGCCACATATGCTCATGCACACTCAGTTTCCACATATCCATGTGTCATTAATTACCTTTTGTTTTCGCGCCTTACGCAGCATTTTGACGCGCGTCGACGCCTGCCGCATGTACACATCTGTCGACGAGCGCACATAGGCCGCAGGTGTAATCGGTGCACTCGTCACTGTCGGCTCACAGCCGCGACAGTCTTCGATTTTCAGCCGCGCGTCCTTAGTGCTGCAACATTTCAGATTCACTGACGTCATATTCTCATAGAGACTCTCGTGCGGACAACTGGCGGCAGACGCGTCGATATGTGGTGGCGTGTGTTGCTGTTGTGGCGGTGCCGCATTGCCCGCTTCCTGCGGCTGCTGTTGCTGATACAACATTTGCTGTTGTTCCGCCACTGCGGCGGAGGCCTTCATTTTATTGAACTTGCTGCCGCTGGAATGACCTTTCGACTTGCCACCCACACCAGCCGCCAACGGTGCACCCACGCTACTGACCGCCAATGCGCCACTTGTCGTTGTGGCGGGGGCATTGGTCGCGGCTGCTGCTTCCTTTTCCTTGTCACTATTACTGTCATCGTCCTCATCATCCGATTTAATTAGTTTTCGCGGCCGATAGCGGTGCTGGCGACGTGTGTGACCGTGTCCGTGACCGGCGTTTGACTTTGTCGCCGCGTCCAATACGCCGGCACCAGCGCCGTTGGCTGTTTTCTTCAACTTACCGCCGCCGCCGCCACCTCCCGCGCCTCCACCGTTAGCTGCAGCGGCGGCGGCGGCGGCGGCTGATTTTGATTTGCCCTCTGGGCTGACAGTGAGACGGACGTTGATTGTTTTGCTGCCGCAGTGTGGCACCACCACTGACTTGCCGATCGACTCGTATATCGTGTAGACGATGCCGACAATGTCATCCTTTGTGATTTTGCCGTGATGGCCGTCGAGGTCGTAGAAGGTGAAGGAGAACTGTAGCGGCTGTGTGGACTTGCCACCCTCAACGGAAACGTCGCAAGTGAACTCCTGTGCATAAATTGGAGGGGAGAAAAGAAAAGAAGAAAAAACATAAATGCTGTTAGTTATATAATGTTGGTTGCAGACACAAACAGATAACTAGAAAAGTTCTGAGTTGTCGTAAATATTGAATTGCGTTGACATGTTTAAAAATACTGTCTAGCATTTATGATTTGCCTGCCTCTTCAAGTTTTCATTGAGGCTAACGCAGATTTTTTTACCTCTTTACAGCTCGAGTGCTCGCAAAAAGACAGGCATATTCATATTTTCCCCCACTCGCGCAGTGTTTAGTCTAGGCCTTCAGCCTGCCATTTTGCGTTTGCTTTTCTTGCAATTTCGTGCTCCAATAAATCCCGTTACGCCACTTGCAAAAATTTTGCTTAAAAGTTTAGCCAATATAGGACAGTACGTGCGGAATTGCTGAATAATATATAGATATATAGAAAACGATTTGTAAAAATTTGGGAGAAGTCTGCTTCGTATTCATCATTGAAATGCACTACATTGTCGAGTGAAAAGGGGAAGCAAACATTTTTGGCAATTAGCCATTTGCGTTTCAATAAAATTAATGGAAATTTCGTGGAAGAAATCTGAGTTCGAATGCGAAATGTTTATGGCTGAAAATTTGGATAAATTGGAATCCGTATGACGAGCGCAAAATTTATGGTGTAATTAGTCAAATATGCGAGTATTTTCTTTGTGCAAATAGAGAAAAACTTAAAAAAAAAATTAAAATAAATAAAATTAAAATTTAATGATTGGAAAGTTGTGTGAGGGGTCCTTGCTCTCTGTGCAATCAAAAGTGGTGAGATGGAACCTGTCATTAAGTAATGAAATAAGTTTGGAATTTAGAGAGGATGCACATTTGTATAAATTCGGTATTTGATCATATAAAGATAATTAGAGAGAAAAGTCGGAAGTAAATATAATCATAGATATATTTAATTCTCCATTAGATCGAAAGTAAAGATCAGAAACGAAGTGAGGAGAAATCCCAGCAATACAAACTTAGATCTCCACAGGCATGAAGAGCTTGAAAAGGGCGTGACTGTATTTACGAATGCTCTAAATACAACTCTCACTACGCATGCCCTACGCTGCGACTCAAGCACAAAACAAAGCCCCCTTGATGGAACAAGAAGGTTGGATCTTGCAGACGCAAAGTGCGAGAATGCTTCAACTGGGCCAAGCTAGCTGAAGGCGAGGACTATTGGAAAGAATATTTTCTAAGGGACTACAACAAGTTGGTGCACAGGACAAAGCGAGAATCCAGGAACAACTTTTGAGGTGACGAGACTTAGAAAACTATTATGCAAAATCGCAAAAGTAGCGGACTGTGGCCGAATAGCATTTCATGTGTATTTGTCCCGCATTGGCAAGACTACGCTGTAAGCATATGAGATGCCCACGGTATGATATACTGGAGGAGGTATCGATAGTGAGACCGCAGAGTCTGCTAAAATTCGCGCCAAGAGCAGGCATCCAAAACGATGACTACTCCTCTTGGACTAAGCAACTGAACTTCATCGTGACTTATTGGCTTACCAAATTAACCTAACCTAACTATAGCCGTGGACACGACAATATCTAAATTTTGGCTAAGCAAACTTTGGCTTCCAAGAAGTTTATTACTCGTACGAAAAATCTTTAATATTTCAAGGTCACATTTTTTAAAGAAAGCAAATATATATAGCTAAGGTTGACATGAAGCATTTGATTAGAAAATAATTTTTTTTGGTTTCTTACCGCTATTCAAAATTACTTCTATGTTTGTGTATCGAGAGCCACAATTTTGAAGCGTTTTAACCAATAAGTCTTCTGGACTTGTATGAATCACAGGCAATTGATTTGATACAACAAAATGATTCACAGTTACATATGCCCCACAATAGCAAAAATCATTTAATGTTGCAAAGTGCAGCCGAAACCCACGAAATCTTTTAACCGTTCCACAAAATTGCAAAATTTATTTATTTTCCGACTGTGGAAGCACGCATGGTGCCTGATTTAGTGCCGCTTTCGGAAACCGTTTTTGTTTTGATTTTCCACTTTTTTATATTGAAATCTCGCAAATACTCGTTGCGCCGTAGCGATGGATTTTGCACTAAAAGCGCGCAGTTGGACGCATTGCGGGAAGTGTGGCCAAGTGTTGGCGAGCGGGCGGCAGGGTGTTGATGTAAACAACCAGTTTCCATGGATATACAGCGGAAAAATCGCGCTGAATTTGATTTGTTTACGAAAACATCGAAAGCCACTTCTGCAGTGAGAGCTTACGGTACTCACGAGCCAAATCCAATCAAATCCGAAAAACGTTTATTTTGTTTCGATTGCAGTCGGAGCGCGTGGCTTGCAGAATTGTGTAGAGATTTATTTGTTATTTATGCAAACATGTGCAATTAGCAAGAAAACAAAATTCACATCATCTGTTGCATGAAGGCGCAGTTACGTCAAACCAAATCGGTGGAGCTTGCAAACGGGAGAATAGCACATAGTATTTATAGAGTTAAAGAATACAGGAATTTGCCAAATTTAGAAAATCTTTAACATCAATTAAAACTAAGGCCTTCTATACATAGTTTCGGACAACCCAGTGTATAGAATCTGCAAAATTGTTGGATTATAAGCGATATTTAAGAGATGTCGCATGTTAAAGCTAACTAGTCGTTCAGGCTTATCGCTAATGAGCTGTTTTCATTGGAGATTCCTTGAGGGTAAATCTTTGAAGAGGCTTCCAGATTCTCTTAAGAAATAAAAAAAACTTATTCCCGAAGAAATAATGGACCATAAATCGCAAACGAGTTCTATGCACAAAATAAACTTCTCTAATAGAAGCAGGAAAATATACTTAAATTATTACCGTTAAACACTGAGATCTTTATCAACCAAGCGTCATGTCTTAAGAGCTAAATTAAGTACCAGGAAATTTTCAAATGCGCAAAAATTATAGTCAAATAACAAATCAAGCAATAAATAAAATCCGAGAACAAATGGCTCACGGAAATAACAGCGAATGCTGGAGAAATGATATGCTGATAATAGAAAGGAATGCCGAAGCGTCAGCGGAAATTACTATCACTTTAAACTGAGCGGAGGTTGAGGACCAAATACAATTTAGTGAAGCTTGGTGATGGCGGAGGGGTGGTGCTGGGGCTGCCAAATGAATTGGAGGCGAGCGCGTGAGATAATCTACTGAAGGTATTTCGGAAATTATTACGCCACGTTGACTTTTATGACATTACACACGACTTAATGTCATTTAGGTAATTGTGGCGCCTAATGCTTATAACACACAACACTATATGTGCATGTACATATGTATATGAGCTTTTTATTGTTCATAAACACGCCCACACACAGATAATTTATGCTAAACGCAGACAGCAGCAAAAGCAACTGAGCGCGTGGTAAGGATGAGCGCCGCTATGTAGCACTTGGCCTCAATGCCGGGCCACGCATGAAATTTCCCACTCCGCTAATCTCCTTGGTAGGTGGGAGTAGTACGAAGAGGACGGGCGTGGTGGTAGAGGCGAAAACATATTTCACGCACCGTTGCAACAGGCAAATGGCATGAAAGCGAAGACAAGAAAGACTACCCAGTCTAAAGTAGAAACACATATGGATGTTAGGTGGTCCGATTCCATATGTATTGCGTTGTATCTAAAGTGTTCTAAAATATTATCGCCATAAACTCATGTTTAGGAAACTCCGTGTTTAAGTTGCATAATGCTATTGTGGCGTTTAAACTGAAAATGGAGTTAAGGAAAATTTAGAAAACTCTTTGTTTCAGTTTCTCTGAATATAATATAAGGAATAACATCCGTTAAAAAATTGTAGCCTGCACATCGCCTTAAACAGAAAACGAAAATATATTTTAGCCGACTTTAAGGAAAAGAATTTCGGAACTCTTTAGTGTTTAATTCTCAACAGTATTTCTCAGCGCTAGATTACAAAACGCTGATGAAGAGATATAAAGGTATCTGGCTTACATCGAGATACATCAGGCAGTTTCTACTAACAGATTTGCAAAATTTATTTTTTCGCTCTCTCTCAAGCTCTGCGTAGAATTATCTTCAAATCCCATACATCTTAAGTTATGGAAAATCAAAGATTACTCATCTACTAAGCTAATAAGGTTAGGGTGAACAAACCAACCGGTATCACATATAAAAAGCAACTGAGTAATAATTTCGGCATTGTCGTAGACATCTTTCGCTAGTCGTTTGAGTGATTTAGCTTCATGGAATCCGTTATCAGACGATCTAAGAGATAAAATTCGCAGAAGGAGCTGAAGGCCACATGTTTACCAGAAGCTATTCGGAGGACTGGAAAAATCGTTGACATAGGTGTATTACATCTGTTGAGGATTACTTTGAAGGCGACAAAATAAATATTTATGAATAATTAAATATTTTGCTTTTTATTTAGAATTTCCATGAACTTTTTTGTCACGATGTTTGTCCTACCGACTATACGTGCGCTAACTGGTACTTTGACAAGACGTTTTATAAAATTCTGTATGGACTATTATTCAGACCAACATCAATAGCTTATAGCTGTCATAAAAACTTTTCTTAAACAAGAAAAAACGTTAACTTCGGGTGCACCCAACCTAATATACCTTTCACGGGTGCATTTCTTTTAGTAACTATGCGTTCATTTTGTATGCTAAAGTTAACCGATTTGAACAATTTCTTCGGAGATTACATTGTTGCCCTAGAAAATAACCTATGCCAACTTTGGTGAAGATATGTACATTGTCAAATGTGAAAGCTTTCCATACAAGAACTTGATTCCGATGTTTGTATGGCAGCTATATGTTATAGTGGTCCGATATCGGCAGTTCCGGCAAATGAGCAGGTTCTTGAAGAGAAAATGACGTTTGGGGACTAGTTCGTATATATCTGTCTGTCAGATGGACATGGCTAAATCGACTCAGCTCAACATACTGATCATTTATATATATACCCTGTTCAGGGTATAAAAATCGTTTCTAGACAAACACCAACGCCAATCCCACTCAAATTTTGTGAAATGCGCTCGTTGATGTAAATATTGTTAATTGTTTATTTTTTCAAATCAAATTTATGATCCGCACAGCGACCCATTAAAATGGCTAACACAGTGACTAGTCATACGCATTTCTGTAATGTGAAAAGGTATGTGTGTATGTACACATGTTGTTGCAACAGTTGAGTGCATTTGCGTGGGTGCAACAGTCGCCGAGGCGCCCATCGGCAATTCCGCAGGCGATTAGACAGCAACAACTGTGAATGCTTATTTATTTTCTTTTAAGCGCCATTTGCTTGTTTTCGTGCACTAACGGTACACGTCGAAGTAATAAAGCAGACGTCAAATCGTCTTTCCAGCAATTTGAGGAATTTTTCTTGGAAATTTTCGCTGCATGTGTCAGCATTTCCTCACTGTTCACTCCGCATTTATTTTCTCAGCACTTTCTAATCGGTAATAAAAATCGTCGAAAACTGTTATTTGTTGAAAAAATTCATTTGAAAATCACGTCTCCCAACAACAATCACTCTCCTACCTCAAACTCGTAGTACTCAAAGGAAAATTCAAAACGATTATCGTAATAAATTTCAACTCGCACATCTTTAAATTGCGTCCACTCAACGGGGAGTGCATGAAGAGTACATGACCACTTTTTTACGCAAATTGTTTATCGAGCATAGCGGGCGGTGAGGTTCTTTTGTTTTTTTTTCAGCTTATGTTAATTTTCTGGTATTGTTTCAAGAAAAAAAAATTTTACTACCTATACGTAAGAGTAACCTTGCTACAGAGTATAATAGTTTTTTTCACCTAATGTTTGTGCTTATCATCAAACCTAATCAAGATAGATAAATGATCCGGCAGACGAGACGAGTTGAAATCGGGTGACTTTATACCGAATTAATCGGCCAATATGTGAGTTATTTTAATACAATTCATACAGCCTGTTTTTCTAATAACGGTTCATCTTTGTGGATAAAATCGAAAGATAACTTGAACCTAGACCCTGTACATGTCTTATGTACCTGAAGGTGGCTTCCTTCTGGCTTTAATCCTTGCAAGTTGCGAGAGTATGAAATGTTCGGTTACACCCGAACTTAGCCTTACTTTATTTTTTTATTTTTTTTTTTATTTGATTGTGTATGAGGAATTATTCAATGAGTTAGAACAAAGTATTACTAAGTATTTATTAACTGCATATTTTCCTAACCGTGAGAAAATAAAATCAATTTTAATATTTCCAAACTGTTTAAATAGGTGCCCACTTCACTTCACCCGTAAGGCACTTGCCACTTTCTTTTGCCTTTTCTTTTTTTTAATAGGACGCCCGGTTTCGATTATACTCAGTTGCAGCTAAAATTTGTTATATTCATATGTGGTACAGGTAATAGGCTCAATTTTAGCCAAGATTTTAGATTCATATACTTGTACATATGCTGTATGTATTGTATATTGTTATGAAAATTCACAATCTCCGTTTTAAAATATGTGTGTTCATCGGTAAGCACACTGGCGGTAAACTATGGCAGGCGACGATCGAGAAAGCGAGGATCAAAAGGCGATACGTAAGCTTCGAATGCAGGCCAAATCGAGACCAGGAATAAAGGGATGTTCAACTTATTCCAGTGTGAGAGCGCTTCAAAATAAGCGTTTTTTATAACATTTTCCATTATGGCCAGATCGAACAAAATAAGCATTTTTGGGTATTTTAAATTAAATCACCCAACATTTAGTACGAATCAAACTCTACTCTACAGTGGTTATTTATTATATGGAGAAACTATTTGAATCCTTTTAAAGTATATTAGAAAAACTGACTTTTGACCTTACAATACCCAATAAAAGGTTTAAAGCTTGTTAGCTCTCAATCATTAAATGTTTTTAATCATTTTCCATTGAAAATAGTACTATGGTGCTTCCAATTACAAAACATTTCATCAAATGCCTTTAAAGATGCAACAAATCCCTCCGTTTACATATTTTTTGGGAAGATTTCAATCTGGCCATCGCTCGTTTTCAATTGATAAACGTCAAAACCTACTGAACTTGATTAGCTGTCAAAATTCAGTAGGTTTTGACATTTAGTAATTGCTCTCTCACTTCCAGGGAGTGAGGAGTTGGACATCTCTTTATCTCTGACGAGACTGAGAAAACTATGGCCAGGAAATTGCTCTCTCACTTCCAGTGAGAGTTGAGTTAAACATCTCTTTATCTCTGGACAAAACTATGAGCAGGAATAAAGGAATGTCCAACTTATTCCAGTGTGAGAGCGCTTCAAAATTAGCGTTTTTTATAACATTTTCCATTATGGCCAGATTGAAAAAAATTATAATTTGTGGGCATTTAAATTTACCCAACACTTAGTACGAATAAAAATTACTATGTAGTGGTTATTTATTATATGAAGAAACTATTTAATTATATTTAAGGTATAATAGAACAACTGACTTTTGGTCTTCGAATATCCAATAAAAGGATTTAAGCTTGTTAGCTTTCAATCATTAAATGTTTTTAATAATTTTCCATTGAACATAATACTATGATGCTTCAAATTACCAAACGTTTCATCAAATACCTTTAAATTTCACAAATTTATTTAATTTTCTTTGATTTACATTTTTTATAAGTAGTCTTGAACGATGCAACAAATCCCTCCGTTTACATGTTTTTGGGAAGATTTCAATCTGGCCATCGCTCGTTTCCAATTGTTAAACGTCAAAACCTACTGAACTCGATTAGCCGTCAAAGTTCAGTAGGTTTTGACATTTAATAATTGCTCTCTCACTTCCAGGTAGTGGGGAGTTGGACATCTCTTTATCTCTGACGAGACTGAGAAAACTATGACGATGACCCTTTTTGACCAGTGTGGTATGTGTTTGCGTGTGTGAATGTGTTCTCGCGTGTGGGTAGTGTTGATGAGCGGATCCTGTGGAATGTGGGTTCTGTGTGTGTGGTGTATGGGACTAGTGGCATTAGGGGGGCGGCTTATCTCATTTAGCCACAACCATTAAAATAACATGACCAAACTAATGAAGAATACCTATTTTTTAACTTTCATATGCATAAACTGTCAAAATTTGTCTGTTTTACGTTGATTTTAAGCAATCAAGGTCAATCAGATCTTTCAATATCATTCAAGAGAAATGCTGAGATATGAAATATACTTCCAAGCTTCTTTTAAGTATTATCAAAGACATTAACAACTGTAAAAATTTCTTGTGAAACCTTGGGATTGGGTGATCTATCGGTCAAGTCTTCTAAAACAACGAAGTTGGTGGCGGCGAACTCAGACATAGTGCTGAATAGCCGGGCTTCATAAGTAAAAACGAAGGACTGTTGAGTTGTTTTGGATTCGATAGGAGAACCAATAAAGTAACATAACAAGAAAAAATCTAAACACTGGCTGCACCGAAGCTATAATACCCTTAATAAATGCAATTTTATAGCATATATTATAAATAGGTCATTTATTCTGATTTTGATCGGTCAGTTTGAATGGCGTCATCGGCTATAGTAGCCAGATTTGAACAATATGTGAAATTTGGTGAAGACACATTGACTAATAAACGAGTTTCCATACAAGAATATTTTCAAAATAAAAAAACAAGGAAATGATCTTCTAATAAGGCAAAGCTGTATAGTGCTCGCTGACGACTACAAAGGAAAAATATATAAAATTGTGCGAAATGGATTAATTTTTCTTTAAATTTAAATACAACAACAGATTTAAAGCGAGCCGTTTATACTCAACGCAACTATCAAACTCATGCTGATTTGACAGTTTGACAGATTTGACAGCTTTCTAGGAAATTTTAGTTTTACTTTGACAGCTACATATTTATCTAGAAAATATCATCAGTATGTGTTTTGGCAAATTCGATTCAATTTGAATTACTGACACAATGTTCTAAAGATATTATTCCGTTAAAAAATAATAAGTTATATCTTAAAACTGGGCAACTATTATTCCATACGCAGGGTCTCAAGTGTGAAAAATCTAAGCTCTTAAAAGCTCTTAATTACTGACTTCAATTTACTTCCACAATCTTCTAGCAAAAATTTAACATACATACATATATAATGTGCTCCAATATAATGTTACATGTAAACCAAAGCCGAACTAAATCGCTTGCGCTAAAAGACCGTTTACCCAAGCGTCAGTCCATTCAACTGTGCTTTTAATTAACTCACCTCCAAGCGTATGCGCTCCTCCTTGCCGTGCTGATGTGAGGAGTGCCGCTGATGCGATGTCTGCTGTGGCCCATCAATTTCATCCTGATACTGTTGTTGTTGCTGCTGCTGACTACTAACAGCCAACTGTTGCTGTGTATTAATGAATTTAGCGGCAGCACTTTTGCTGCTCAATTTCAAATGTTGTTTACCACCGTCATCCTTTGAACCGTGTTGTTGGTGTGGATCACGATGTGTCGCATGTTGTTGCTGTTGTCCAGTGGCATGATGATGTTTCGGCACACTGCTGCAGCCAACAGCGGTGCTGCTGTGATGATGCGCCGCCGCCGTTGTTGTTGTTGCGGTGGAAATTAGATTGACTACCGGGGAACGTAACGGTATATTGTTTTCGCGATCGCTCACCATGAGCAAGTCGGGCGGCGCACTGCAGGAGGATGAGGCGCGCACCTGGTGGTACATCAGCTCCTCGGAGTCGGTGGTGCATTCTTGAACTGCAAGCAAAAGAGAGAGCGAAAGAGTGAGTTGTTTGTTGTGATTATACATTTAATATTATAACTGTTTATATGTTTGTGTGTGAGTGCTTTTATTAAATCTTAATACTTTACACGCGCGGTTATTAAATTGACAACGTTGTAATAACTCAAGTTGTTGTTGCTATTTGCATGTTTCTTGTAGCCGGTGTAATTAAATTAATTCGCCGCATTTCCGACGCCGTTGCACACTAATACAACAACAACAACAACACTTGTACAACTACTTTATCAGCAGCAATAATTCATTTCTCAGTTTATTTTCTGCCTTTTGTTTTTGCGCATTTATTGCTTGTTGTTGCTACTGTGTCGGGTCGTAAACAATAAACCTGTCGGCAGCTTTACGGCCACAACTGTTGTTGCCGTACGCGACTGTTTTGAATATTTGCGCGAGTTATCTTGCCAGCGGAATCTTGCTTATGCCCTTTGTTGTTGTTTGCTTTTGTTATTTTCTGTTTTGGTTTCTGCTGCCAACGCCTCGGCTGCCGGCGTTGACGCTGATTACTGGCGGAATTTAATGCCAACTCGCATGCAATTTATCGAAAACAAAGGCTTAAAAGCCTTTGCGATTGTTATTGTTGTGGTTGCTGTTGACGCCACTCAGCCAGGCAGTTAATGTGGCAGTGAAGGCGAAAAACAATCAGCACAACAAAAGCGGCAAATACTTATTTACAACAAAAAATGCCATAAGAATTTTGTAATTAATGGTGATGCATGCAATGCCGGCGCCACAAAAGCGTTCCAAGCATTTCGCCGCCCCTGCCCCATCAAACGCCGCAAATTCCAAGCGCTGCGCCTTTATGGACTACAGCGCTGAGTCCACTTGCCTTTGGCCTCTGGTCAATATTTTGCCCAGTCGCAGTTAACATCAGCTATTTACACACATATGTGTGTGTACTTGTTTTTCCATTTGAAAAGCAACACTTGCGCCATTTGTCGGCAACTGTTGCCGGTCGCTGATTCAGCGGTCGCATGCTGTTGCCCATTTGTTGTTGCGATTTCTTGCTTCTCCTTTCATACTTCTGTTGTTGGCAATGTTGGCGCTTGCCCCCACTTTGCTGGAATTAATGAAAGCGCCGACAACTTTCATACTGACATATTGCCCCTTAAAGTAATTTATTTAGTGGCGGCGGTCGCTTTGAAAGCCCTTGCGATGGCCAATAAAAGAGCACACAAAGCTACGCTTATGAAAGTATAAATATGCATGTGTATGTGTGTATGTTGCGAAATGCTACTAACGACATTTGCGTAGACGATGTTTTGTATGAAGATAAAAAAGTCGTTTTTGTTAATAGAACTCCACAATCGCCGATCATTATAAATGAAAGTGAAGTAGTACGAAAAAAGACAGCGAAATGCTAGAAAAACAACACACACACAAAAGCGGACAAATGAAGATTCTAACGCGACTTTCGGCAGGACATATCCTAAAATATACAATCTACTTAGTTATTGGCGCAGACTTCGATTACCCTGTTAAAGCCGGTCTACAACAGCGCCCCAATTGGAGATTACAAGTGTAGCCAGATCCTTCACTACCTGGGCTTTCCAATGCAGTGGAGGTCTTCCCCTGCTTCCCCTGGCGGGTATTGCGACGAATATTATCAGAGATAGAGTGTTTTCATCACCTAGCCAGAGTAGCCACTGTCTCTTGATTCGCTGATGGCAATGTCGTCGAACCAAAAATCTTTCGCGGAATCTTTCTCTCGAGAACTATTTTTATTAAATCTGACATCATGAATTTTTATACCATTCAAAATTTGGCGAGTGGCGAATTGAAGAAACAACTGTCTGAAACATATACTTGTAGAAACAGAAACAGAAACGGAGGGAATTGTAACTCCTTAAGGAGGTATCCCACATTATTTTGGTTAAATATTATTGATAAATAAATAGAGAGGAGAACTAGTAGATCTTAGAGTTAAGATATCTTCATTAAAATTTTGTTTCACATTTTTACTGCAACTAGACTTCCAACTTTTCTTAGAGTAATCCAGTTGAATGAGATGAAAAAAGTATATAGTAATCATTTTGAAACGCTTTTTTATTGCAGCAGCATACTAGGTACTTCCGGAATCACACTTTCTGATTTCCATACTGCCATACTTATTACAATGAACTATCGGTTAGTGGATACCCAAGTGTATTTGGCAATTGACCACTCTAATCATCTGGCTTTTGCTAAGACGACTTTACTAACAGAAATTGTAATCTGTTGTGGCCTGACACAACATTCGGGTGCAAAAAAAGAGCATCTACCAAAAGAATTCCAAAGGAATTGGCAAGCCAGTATCAACACATTTTAGTTGCGTACGCTCGAGTGCACGCAATTATCGGCGTAAATTAATAGTTGAGTTGAAACGTTTGACAGCATTGCGAAATGCAAAATACACACAGATAAATGATTTATCTGACAGGCGAGCCAAAATGAGTTGTTCGCCAGACGCTGAAGTGCCTCTCAATGCTGTCAACTACCACCTTGTAGCGTAAACAGTTTTAACGAATTGCTTTTATCATTTTATTTTTCAAATACCATTTACCAAGTATGTCTCCATGGAAAAGAATGGCTTGTTGGTTGACTGCTATCTTATCTCAAATGGCAAACAAAGTGGCAACACGAATTCTTACACACCATTTTCAGCTACTTTATTTAGCAACTCACTTTCAAAATTACCTGCCAGATGCATGCATGTTGCAATGAAATGTTTTGAGATTTTAGAACGACAAGCAATGTTTCTCATAAAATCGGAATGTGGTAGAAAATTGCCAAGGTCATGACGAACATGTGAAGTCTTCGGTGTAACCAACATTTTTTTTTTTTGAAGGAAATACTAAGAAGCAATTTCACTAATATAGCGCGGAGCTTGTTGTTGGTTTGAAGATTTAAACTGATTCATGAAATAATCTCTCTGCAGTTTTCATTCGTAATGCCAATATGCCAGCAGAATTTGGCAAATTTGAAAATAAATTCTGACTGGGACTGTGGTAATCTAACATTCATTGTATCGAGGAGCCTTTGTAGGAGCTGAATAGTCTTGGGAAATTCCAATTAATCAACAGGGCAGCCCCTGTATTTAATGTCTTCTATGGATATGTCAATATGGTTATCACACTGAGTGGATAACTAATATATGTATATGGGCCAAGTCCAAATGTTTTTCTTAAAAATTTGTTAACATAGTTAGACACAAATTGGTATGTGCGGATGAGACTTGACATGACGCATGTTATTAAACTTCATTCAGAAGAAAACTGTATAGTTATATCTCTAAACCTTATCATCGTCGCATTGACAAGATCCACATATAACCTTAAAAACTTACAAAACAATTAAAAAAGTCATAAATTCTATCGATTTTCAGTAGTGAAACCGATATTTGGGAGTAAAAAAAAACAAATTTAATCGACAAACTTTATATAGATTTTTAAAACCAGATCCATGATCGCTCATTTGCATAGTTTGCCTTTCATTTTTTATGTTTGCATGAGTGTCGGTAGTTGCATGCTGGAATCTAAAAGCAAATTGCATGTCGCTTTGACAGCACTGGCGCCAGAGCGAGTGTAAATTTGTCGTTAACCTGTCTACATGAGGTCTTTAAAATTTATGATTTTCATTGCAATTTGCACACACTTGCATATGCATGTATTTCTAGGCACTCTGCCCCTCTTCTTGCTGTTGACCAAATGTTATCTTTATATGCGCTCGCTATAATAACTTTGCCTTTCAAGTTCAAAATGGCATTTGTTTATCCAATAGATGCCTATACTAAGCGCAGAAGAAATCAAATGCCAAAGACAAATGAATATATTCATTGACTTATGTATTTGTATATAAGTATGGCTATTTGTGTATGAAGTAAAGGGGGCAACAGCTGCTGGAGGTATTCACATGAGTTAGGATGCTTAAAGGTTGCAATGTGATGCAGTTAGTTTTTTTTTATTTAGATGGTGAAGCTAAACTGAAATCGAAAATCTCTTTGAAAATATTCCAACAAAATTAAGCTTAGTTCTTTCGTATTTTAAAAATCAGTAATTTCAAATGAAAAGTACCCAAATTTAGCAATATTTTAGATGTCTATATGGAAAGCTTATAGATCGCTAGCTGTCAAAGCAAATATATATTTTTGACATTTTTGTTAAAAATAGACTAGAGTGTTCTATTTCAAAATTGCCGAAATTTATTTCTTAAACTGGTTTTCTGTGCATACAACTTAGAGAGCTTATAGAGAGAGAGAAATAGATAATAAGTAAAATTGTTCCTTTTGTGGTGGAGAATGTGTCTGTCTAGGATCATAAGTAGACAGGGTCGGGACCCATTAATCGCTATAAAATTAAAAGAGGAAATTTGTTGTTATTTAACACGGTTTAAAAATAAAACCAAATTTACTTTTTTACACTTTATTACATTTAGCAGGAATAAACATTTTTTGGGGTTACATTTTGAAAAACACATTGAGATAAAATTAAAAGAATATATGTATACATATACATATATATATATATATACATACTTCATGTAGTTTTGTAAGTTGGTGGGATTGTCCTTAATTAATAAGCCAAATATGAGCGCGATCTGTTAACCCGTTTGTTCAGAGCAGCTGCACCAGCTGTCGGTACACCTCAGACCGTTGAGGTTTTTACATTGGATAAAAATTTTGAAAAAAGAATTTGTCTCAAATTTTGTATTCTTAACCAAATTTTGTGCGTGGAACCATTGCAAATGTTGGAAAGGGCTTACGGTGATTCAATTTTATCACAACAACAAAGCTTACGAGTGGAAAAAAGCCTTCAAGAACAGTCAAGAGATCGTTGACCGATGAAAATATTAAAAAAAAGTGAATGATATGGTTCTTGAAATTCAGCAGGAAAGTGCTAAAGAGATGGCAAGAGACTCGACATTTATAGCGAGTTCTTTTGGCTCCGCGAGATTTTTTCTTATTTTTGAAAAATTATTTGCATAA